GGCAGGGAGCTGGATGGGAAGTGGGGCTGCTGAGATTCGAACTGGCACCCATGAGGAATCCTGGCGTGTTCAGGCAAGGACTTTAGCTGCTAGGCCACCACGCTGGGCCCTAAGCTCTACTTCTAATGTTCTAAGGAAGTGCCAATCTTGTTTTCATGAAGGCTAACCTAGGGTCAGCAGAAATGCTTAAAAACAGCAATGTATCTGTATAATCCTTGCGTAATTTTTCATGGCTACTAACTTCTCATTTCAGTGAAATAATTTATAAGAAAACAGCTGACTTTCAAGAACAACCTCATGTTTTCTAACAGAACTTAGGAAACAAAAGCCTTTTTACAATAAGCACTTGCAGCAGAAGCGTTCTGATAAACAAATGTATTGGCGTGCTTTGCTCACTTTCCTTTGAAAAGGTCTTTGTAAGTGAATGATGTGCTTCGCAATGTAAAAATTAGTCTGGCTTTTCCTAAACGTCTCATTTTCCAAAATATGACTCTTCAAGGCTCATACAAGCTTTATGCTTGTAATAAAGGTTCTTTTTTTTTTTTTAATGCAACATTCTCTTGGTGTTTTTATTTCTGAGTCTGATTCCTATGGGAGAGATTCCCTCTTTTTCCTTTAGCATGTCCGCAGCTCCGAGGCTAGCAAAGTTGGCTGAATGCATTACAGAACTACTGAGTTACAAAACACGGAGGTTCTTGGTGCCCTAACGTGTCCTAACGTGTGCCTCCTCTTCTTAAAATTTAGATTGTATACTGATTTAGGCAGTATCTTTTACTTACCTTACGTCTTGTGAGTCAACATTTGACAAAGACGTGTCATTCCTGCTGTGACCCTGCTGGAAGACTACTGCAATGTGCTTCTAGCCAAGCTTGCATTTTCCTTACAGGGGGGCAAGCAAACTCTTCATGCAGGAAAAGAGAAGCTTGCGTCAGGGAGATACACACTCCTCCCTTCTCCAAGGGAAAGGCTGTCAGAATTGCGTTTTGGTTGTTAGATTTCAGAATCCTAATAAAAATGACCCTTTTTCATCTTACATGCTTGATCTGCAGAGTTTATTAAGTTATTTTAAAGATTTATTTATTTTTATTAGAAAGTCAGATATAAAGAGAGAAATATCTCCCATCCGATGATTCACTCTCCAAGCAGACACAATGGCCGAGCTGAGCTGAGCCAATCTGAAGCCAGGAGCCAGGAGTCTCCTCTGGGTCTCCCACACAGGTGCGGGATACCAAGGCTTTGGGCCGTCCTCAACTGCTTTCCCAGGCCACAAGCAGGGAGCTGGAAGGGAAGCAGGATCACCAGGATTAGAACCGGTGCCCATATGGGATCCCGGTGCGTTCAACGTGAGGACTTTAGCCACTAGGATACCGTGCCAGGTCCATTTTTTTTTTAAAGATTTATTTTATTTTTACTGGAAAGGCGGATATACAGAGAGGAGAGACAGAGAGGAAGATCTTCCATCCGATGATTCACTCCCCAAGTGAGCGCAACAGCCGATGCTATGCCAATCCAGGAGCCAGGAGCTTCCTCCAGGTCTCCCACACGGGTGCAGGGTCCCAAGGCTTTGGGCCGTCCTCGACTGCTTTCCCAGGCCACAGGCAGGGAGCTGGAAGGGAAACGGGGCCGCCGGGATTAGAATCGGCGCCCATATGGGATCCTGGTGCATGCAAGGCAAGGACTTTAATCACTGCGCCATCGCGCCGGGCCCCAGGCCCATTTTTAAAAAAAGATTTATTAATTTTTGGGCCCGGCGCGGTGGCGCAAGTGGTTAAAGGTCCTCGCCTTGCACGCCCGGGATCCCATATGGGCGCCGGTTCTAATCCCGGCAGCCCCGCTTCCCTTCCAGCTCCCTGCCTGTGGCCTGGGAAAGCAGTCGAGGACGGCCCAAAGCCTTGGGACCCTGCACCCGTGTGGGAGACCCAGAAGAGGCTCCTGGCTTCGGACCGGCATAGCATCGGCCCTTGCGCTCACTTGGGGAGTGACTCATCGGACGGAAGATCTTCCTCTCCGTCTCTCCTCTCTGTATGTCTGCCTTTTCAATAAAAAAAAATCATAAAAATAAATCTTTATAAAAAAAAAATAAATAATAAGCTAAAAAAAAAATCAACTCTATTCCCACGTGCTTGGAAAGCCCAGAGCGTCTCCTGGAATTTCCGGTGGATCTTCTTTTAGAACACAGAAAGGACCCTTCCTGTCGCTCGCCTTCAGGCCATTCCTTAACCTCGTAATTCTTCCTGCTCTGGGAGCAGCCTCCTGGGCACATGAATTTGTTATACAGCCCTCTTGGGAGGCTAGAGTACAGCTTCCCTCTCCAAGATCCCGGAATGCCTAGAGCAGCTTCTGCAAATAATTGCAATCATGTCACCAAGACTTAAATCCTTGAGTTTTTTTCAAACGCAGTCCAGGATTGATAAAACTGCATTATTTCTCCTGTTAAAGAAGCATGTAATTATCTTCATTATTACATCAAACATAAGAGAAACAAAACTAATACTAGTTAAACATTTATCCAATAATTGTTGTTGTGTGTGGTTTCTCTCATTTCTTCACTGGGGTCAGGGAGTTATCCTCACCCGGGCACACAGGGCCAGTGCTCTGAGGGCATGGAAGGTCAAGTTCTTTTGACTCCAGGAGACAGATCCAGCCGGATGGGTGGTGCTTGCAGCTGGGGCCCCACCCTGGGGGAAGTCAGCTCCGTGGGAATGCGGAGGGGGCGGCTGTGAGCGAAGCCCAGCAGCCTCCACCCTCCCACCCTGCCAAGGCCAAGGCTCAGGGCCCTTCCGGGGAGACAGCCTGAGGGCTTCCTGGGGTGGCTGCCTGGGTCCTTCTCTGCCAGGAACCAGCCCAGGAGGCCCTGCACCAGCTGTGCTGGTGGCTTCCTTCCCGGTGCGGGTTCTGGACCATCTCAAAGTGCTGCAGCAGCTCCGTGCGAGTGTAGTGGATGCCGGGGGGTGGAGGGGGCCCTGTAAATCATTTCTGGAAGGGGTGCAGAGGGTTCTTCTCTAGGGTGCCTGTTTGCCTCATGCTGGGCGACCTCTCGCAACACATTCAGCTACAGTTTTATTATTTTCCCGGCTGGGTATGACTTTTTCCCATGAACAGAGGCTAGCAGAGATGAAGCTTTCGCTACTAAGAAAGGGCAACACTCCAGCCACGAGGCCCACCGCTTATTGTGTGTCCTACTCCCTTCATGAACCTGCGTGCTCCAAACCGCATTTGTCAAATGTGACTAATACATTCCTACTTCGAACCTTTGGTTCATCCGACAGTCCTCTCTCAAATTCACTCTGACCCCTCACCGCTCTTGGCCCGTCTCATCTCATGCCATTAGTAGCAGAGTTGAGTGCATCAGTAAGCTGACCTGACTGCATGTTGGAGATGCCACATGATTATTTGCTAAGAACACGTTTATTTACTGAGTAAGAATCTGCCACAGGTGAGAGCCAAGGACTCGCTACGCAATCTATATTGGCTGACTTCAATAATTATTAGCAATATAGTGGGAAACGAATATTTCCTTTTTAAAGATTTATTTATGTGAAAGGCAGAGTTACAGAGAAAGGGCGGGGGGAGAATGGAGAGAGATCTTCCATCTGCTGGTTCACTCCCCTAATAGCTGCAAGGGTGGGGGGCTGGGATAGACTGAAGCCAGAACAAATCTTTTTTGTTTGTTTTTAAAGATTTTGTGGTTTTTTTTTTTTATTGGAAAGTAAGATATACATAGAGGAGGAGAGACAGAGAGGAAGATCTTCCATCTGATGATTCACTTCCCAAGTGACTACAATGGCTGGTGCTGTGCCGATCCGAAGCCAGGACCCAGGAACCTCCTCTGGGCCCCCCACATGGGTGTAGGGTCCCAAAGCTTTGGGCAGCCTTCGACTGCTTTCCCAAGCCACAAGCAGGGAGCTGGATGGGAAGTGGAGCTGCTGGGATTAGAACCGGTGTCCATATGGGATCCTGGCGCGTTTAAGGCAAGGACTTTAGCCGCGAGGCCATGCCACTGGGGCCCCAGAATAAATCTTCATTAAGTCTCTCCCAGCGTGACATCACACTGACCACTTGGATCCTCCGTATTTTAAAAGATCCCAGGAGCCAATGTGGTGGCATAGTGAGTTAAGCCACCACCTTGTAAACCTGAAATCAAAATGGAGTAAACATGGCTCAATGCTAACTGCAATACTTCTCTGCTTTACTTGCTTGGCTAAGAAACTGTGTGAGCTTTTGGGTCTAATGACCAATGTGACCTGTAGTGCCAAGGGCCCCCGGACCCACATAAATCAAGCTTAATTAACCCACAGATAATTCCAACATGGGAGTTTGTTTGTCACAGGTGGTGCCCAGGCTGGAGCCCGGACCTGAGAAGAGGCAGACAGGAACTGCCCAGCCGAGATAAACAAGGAATTGCGGCCTTTCTTCCCTCACCCTACAGGCTATTGTAAATTGCCCCTTTGGAGCTGTTGTAAATTGTTCCTATAAAACCCCTGTGAATGTGCTGTTTGTGACCGTACTCCAGTTAGGGGTGTTGGTTCTGGCTGGCCAATCAGCAGGTGAGTCAGTTGCCTTGCCCCTCATTTCTAATGAAACTTTGTTGTGACTCACTGGTGAATGTAACATTCTGGTTTACCGGTCGAATAGATGCAATAACCTGTGACTCGGTTATCCCGTACGAGCACTGGTTCAGAGCTCCAGCTGCTTCCCTTCCGATCAAGCTTCCTTTTACTGCACCTGGGAAAGCTCTGGAAGACGGCCCAGGTGCTTGGGACCTGGCCACACACACGACGTCAGGCTGGAGTGCTGGGCTCCTGGCTTTGGCCTGGTACCAGCACTGCCATTGCGGCCGTGTGGGGAGTGAGGCAGCACAGGGAAGATCCTAATCGCTTTCACTTTGCCTTTCAAATAAAAACACAAATTTAAAATAATATCTACCAGGTAAGAGATAAATGTTTTTGCAAAAAGTAAAAAAAAAAAAAAAAAAAGTCAACACATAAACTCTTTCAACCTTGAATTTAGATTTTATTTTAAAATACACTTAGCAGAGAACTGTCGTGGGACAGAAAGTAACAAACACAAAGAAACAGAATACTTCAAATATTGTCTAAAACAGACATAAAAATTAATAGGATAGTACAGACTTAAATTACGGGAAATAATCCCCAAAACAAAGATTTTTAAAAGAAAATCTTCACATTTTCCAACGTACCGATATGTTCCTAAGTGCATCATTTTCTTTTCGACTATTAGGTAAAGATCCTAAATTTGTTTGGTTTACTTAAAACGATCAGATTCAGTTTAAGTTAAAAAAAAAAAAATTACCATGCCTCAAAATTCTCAATCAGGCTTATAAAAATATGAGCTCAGATAGTTAGGCTGTCCAAAATAGAAACATCTTGAGTGGTAATTCAGTACAACCACAGAGAGACTGCACTAAAGTCTGTCACCCCAGACCTGACGGTCACTTGCGTGGAAAATTAATTGTCTTTGTTATGAAACACTTACTACCAATAAATTTAACCTTATCCTAATTACAATCACACAGAAAGATATAAAGGCACAGACAGAACAAAAGAATATACTATACCCAGAGTTTCCGTTGTGAAAATAAAAAAACTGGGGAAAATAGTAAGATCTAAAATACTGAGAGGTTATTTTAGATTTTATCATTTATCTTAAGTGGCTAATAATTGGGTTAACGAGAAATTAAATCCTTTCAAAATAATTTAGAGAAATGGTCTGTTTACATGTGAAGTGTGTGCATTGCCCACCTGTAAATTTCCTCTACCTTTCCACTCCCTGGAAACATCTACCTGCAGTATAAACAATCAAGACAAGGTGCAAAAAATACATCTTGTTTCAATAACTTACAATGCACAGAAAAATACTTACAAAAATGGAAATATTTATCCATTTAGCTTTCCAATAAATTATTGAGAAAGTTAAGCCCATTCCACATTCCTTTCTAAATAAAGGTTTAAAAAGTTAAGGGCAGTTTGCTTCTATCCCTGTTAGCTTGACACACAGTTTAAAAGAATTTGCCTGATTACATGTAACTTAACATTAGCAACTTTTGTATCACAGTATACATGGCATTTCTTAAATCGGCAACAGAAAGGCACGATGAACAAGCAAGAAAACTCAGTACCTGAATTATCGAACGTATGTTCAGAACAGTTGCAAATAAAAGTACTTTCAACACAGTGTACAGAAATTTTAAAAAAGAAGAACTTCAAAAATGAATTTTCTCTAAAAATTTGGTCCACTATAAATGCCTCCCACACTCAACCTCATGGGTAACGAAAGGGGATGGCAGTGTTAAAACAGGCAGTCACTCGATGGGTGGCGGGGGGAAAATTCTGGATTAGGGATTATGCAATTCAATCAGGAAATGGCTACCAGTGTAAATGCATGTTAACACATTTGTTAATAACAACATACCTGTACCAGGTCCCAATACACAGGCACAATTGTTTGCATATTATTATCAATTTTATGATACAGCCCTCCCAAGTCAGAAAACAACCTCAGGTATGTTACTTTATATATAACACATATTAGATATATAAGTTCATATTATATACCTTAATATCTATTATATATAATTTGACATCATAACAGCAGGAAACTCTCCAAATCTCACGTGCACATTCTAATGGACACTGATCATTCTCTTGGTATTGAAACAGCTCAGCTCGCTTGAACAATGTATCTTGGATGTGCAATGATAAAAGTGCACGGACTCTCATGAATTTACTTAAATAATTAAGTTAAATTCCTGCAAAAAGCCTAACACCGATTTGGCTTTTACCTAGAATATACTTTTAGGTCAGTAACAAATACCTTCTTTTTCTTATTATAAACAATATGTGTTTCTTCCCATCAAGAGATACCAATGAAGGAAAACATGTAAGGAATCAAAAATGTGATAGAGAAACCAACCATTCCGTAGGTGATGTACCGGTAAGGCAGTTCAACTTCCATGTGCTGTCTTGCTTTGCGAATATCATCACATGGTATATTGAAGATTCTGCAGGCTAAAGGAATGGTGATCTTTTTCATTATATCTCTGAGTATTACCACAAATGCCATCCCTACGAAAGTCCGCAATATGGCTTTTCCAACCAGGGTCAAGGTAACCGGGGGCCGGGCTAAAGGTAACGTATCTAGAGCAGGTTCTAATATTAGCCCTAAGGTGTAACTAACGTGAGATCCACAGGCGACTCCGGCCCCGCTCCCGAGAATCTCGGCCGTGTCCCCTCGAGACGTGCTCCAGGTGTCAAGCGTGAAGGAGAAGATGCCCAGGGCCAAGTGCAGCCCGATGATGGTGAGCGGAGCGTATCTGTGCGTTTGGTTGAAGTGGTCAATGGTGTCCACGAATGGATAGAACACAGCTAGGATTAGAATGGTATACAGGAAGCCAGCGATAATGTCCTGGGGGAGAGATGACAGACACACATTTTTAACAATTTAAAAAAAAAAAAAAGGCTGACTGAAAAGGGACCATTGTTTTCACGGTTTTACTCTTAATTACATGCATCATATATCTAACTTAATCTTGAATAATACTATGTTTAAATCATACAGCTCTGATTTTGGGGGGAAAGAATATACTTGATAATAATTTCAGGTGGTTCTAAATGTCAGAAAGAAATTAAAACTCGACAGAGAAAAACATGATGAAGGTGCCTTCCGTATCTTGAGATGTGGAGGAAACACTACTACTGTATATACAGAGGCCTTGAGTTCAATGGAATGAGATAATCCTGGGCCGAGGAGAGAGGGCTACGGCGTGAGGTCAGGTGGATGGAGAGAGGCCGAATCAAGCAGAGCCCAGCACGGTAGCCTACTGGTTAAACTCCTAGCCTTACACGCACCGGGATCCCATATGGGTGCCAGTTCTAATCCCGGCGGCACTGTTTGCCATCCTGCTCCCTGCCTGTGGCCTGTGAAAGCAGTCGAGGACGGCCCAAAGCCTTGGGACCCTGCTCCCACGTAGGAGACCATGAGGCAATTCCTGGCTCCTGGCTATAGCCATTGTAGCTGCTTGGGGAGTGAATCATTGGATGGAAGATCTTCCTCTCTGTCTCTCCCTCTCTCTCTGTATATCTCTTTTTAATAAAAAGAAAAAAGATAGAAATTGCAGTAGGCTTTTGGCACAGCTCTTGGCATGTCTGCATCTCCTATGGGAGTGCCTGGGTTTGGGTTCCAGCTACATTCCTGGTGCCAACTTCCTGCTAAGGCAATCTCAGGAAGCCAGGAAGTGGCGACTTACATATTTGGGTCACTGTCAGACAAGTGGGAGACCCTGGCGGAGTGTGTCACTCTTACCTTTGGTTTGGCCTGCACTGGCCCTAACAAATGACTGATCTTTATCTTTCAAATAAACAGACTTCATTTCTTTATCTCTAAAAGATTTAATTTGAAAGGCAAAGTTAGAGAGAGAGAGTGGAAAGAGAGAAAGGAAGATCTTTCAGCCACAGTCCATTCCCCTAAATGGCCGTACTGGTCAAGGCTGGGCCAGGCAGAAGCCCAGAATTCCATCTGTGTCTCTCAGGAGTTCAAGCACTTTGGCTGTTTCCCACTGCTCCGTTAGCAGGGAGTTGGATCAGACGCAATGCAGACAAGACTAGAACTAGCACTCTAACAGGACAGCAGCAATGCATACAACAGAGACCCAATGTGTGGGCGCCGGTTTGTGTCCCAGCAGCTCCATTTCCCATGCAGCTCCCTGCTTGTGGCCTGGGAAAGCAGTGGAGGACGGCCCAAAGCCTTGGGACCCTGCACCCGCGTGGGAGACCTGGAAGAGGCTCCTAGCTCCTGGCTGTGGGTCGACTCAGCTCTGCCACTGTGGTCACTTGGGGAGTGAATCAATGGATGGAAGATCTTTTTCTCTGTATCTCCTTCTCTCTTTGTATCTGCCTTTCCAGTAAAAATAAATAATCTCAAAAAGAAAAAAAGAAAAATTACCAATTGAGATGCTGGGGCTAGAGGAAGAGCACAGGGCTGTTCCAGGAATGGGTCATCTATTGCAGGTGGCAGAGCACCGGAAAAGCAAGCGTGATTCAGGTTAAGTGGGAGCAGGGACGCCTAACCGACCTGAGAAAGGGAAGCTGGGGAAGGCAGCAAAGAATGTGGGCAGTGAGAACAGTTGTAGTGAGGCTTGGAGGATAAATGAGGCAGTTACTCAGGCAAAGAAAGTGAGCAGGGCATGGCAAAGGAGGCCACAGCACTGTGGAAGTGAAGAAACGCGTACTGCATTTGAGAAAACCTCAGTCAGTCGAGACACACAAGTACACCTGTGTCTGGGAAAGCTTACTACACGGGAGGCTGAATGCGGAGTGGAGATTCAAAGTGCAAGCCGGGCCGCTCGTCAAGGAGCCACTGTAGTAATGTGGCGATGAGGCTGCGGGTGAGAACTCAGAGGCATGCCCCTAGGGTCACGGGCAAAGGGAAAGGAGCGGCAGTGGCTGCAAACAGAGGCAGGGTCCTGGGCCGCCGCTGCTCAAACTGACCTGCCTTCTCCAGCTACCTGATCTGATCTGAGAACAGTCGGAACAGAGAAAGGAAAGTCCCACTCGACAGGTAAACATGAATGACGCCGGGATAGTTCAGTTTCTAGTCGCTTGGCCTACACTAACACTTGGAGTTCTCCTCGGTTTCTGAAACCACACGGTCGGTCGGTTTTGATTCTGTGATAGAACAGACTTGGAGGAAATTTCAGCAGACACAGAACTGGGACTGAGAGGGGGAAGAAATACTATCCTGAGTGACAGCCCTGGTTCCCGGGACTGCCCGAGCCTCCAATTACCACACGGGTACTTAGCACAGCTACACAAGGATATATATATATATATATATATATATTTTTTTTTTACAAAACAAAGTTAGAAGACTTCTAAATATTATAAAAGTTCATGTCAGTGTTAGAGAAATGTGGGACATTAACAACATGACGATCTCCTTACCAGAATGGAGTGCATTCCCATGTAAATGCGACTTATGCAAACTAGAGAGCTCCAGCAGGGGATAAGAATCAGTCCATATAGAAGAGGATACTAAAGGGGGGAAAGAAAGAAATAACATAAGTTAATGATATTTGCTATGAACATGCAAACGAAAACCAACTTACTATACAACTCCACAACGCAAGAATGATGTTTTTTCCTTCCCATTGCGTTTCCAGCAGCTAACCCTAAGCACAGCACAGCACAGACATGAAAGGCATTTTTGGCATGAATGAACAAATGAATTTAAATCCTGTGTTTGTATAATTTTCATGGTGAGACTGGCTCATTTTTGGCACTAGAGAACAGACTGCATCCCTGCCACACAGAAGGGCAGGGCGCGGATATTCTTTGCCTCTGTGAGGGGCCGAGCGGAGCCCGGGCCACGTCACTGTCCTCATCTCCTGCCCAGACCACGCTGGCAGGTGACGCGACTGCCCGTGACGATTCAAGTTCTAACTGCCTGTTGTACAGACATGGGAAAGCAGATGATCTTCATAGCACTGCACTTATGAACGAGGCCCCGAACGGCAAAAACATTGAGAAAGTAGAATGGAGCACTCACACACTTTCAGATTTCAAAATGTACTGCAATGATCAAGACGGCGTGCGAATGGACTATGAACTGAGAATAGAAACCAGCGGACTGGAATTGGGAGTCTAAAAATAAACATGATGCATACGGTTAACTGCCTTCTAACAAAGCCACCAAGGACTGTGCCACGAGGAAGGGACAGTCCCTTTGACAGTGCCAGGGTATCTGAGCATCTTCATGCAAGAATGAAGCTGGACTCTTAACTCACACCACCTACAAAAATGAACTCAGAATGGATCAACAACTTAGATAGAAGAGCTAAAACCACACAACTAAGGAGTAAGCATTGGAGGCAACAGGTTTTCACGATCCGGGGAGAGAAAACATTCTTAAATATGACACTAAATGCATTTACCAAAGAAAATCCCCACACCTTCATAAAAAATGTACGTACAACAAAGGATATTATCAAAAAAGTGAAGACACCAGTCGAGTCAGAGAAATTGCTTATAAATCATGTATCTAATAAGAGTCTGGTATTAGGTATTTATAAAGAATGTTTACAACTCCAAAACAAACAGGACTGGGCATTTAGCATGACAAATAAGCTGTACACCCCATCTCGGAGTGGCTGGCTTCAAACTCTTGCTTTTAACATCGGACTCCAACTTCTTGCAGACCCAGAGGAGGGAGGGAGCGGAAACAGTGTAAGGAATTGGGTTCTTGCATATAAGATCTGACACTCTGCCTAAGCCTGTCTTCATCTCTCTCTCCAGAAACAAAGAGGAAAAAAAAAAAGGATAAAGACTTGAATATATGTATTTTTCCTAAGACAATATATACATGGCCAACAAGCTCATGAAAATACACTCAATGTCTAGCCATGAAGAAAATGCAAATCAAAACCACAGCGGGGGGGGGGGGGGGGGGTCTAGGTAGTGTGGCACGTGGGATGCTCCCGCCCGTTATGGAGTGCTGCTTGGAATCCCAGCTATGCTGCTTCCTATCTGGTTTCCTGCTAATGTAGCAGATCATGGCTCAAGTGCTTGCACTCCTGGACTCCTTCAGACCTTCTCTAACACCTTCCATGACATTCTAGCTACAGCAGCAACCCTCCCCGCCTACGATGCTTTGTTTTTCTCCATAACCCTTATCTTTGACACAGGTCTATTCATGTCTGAAGATATACTATATGTTTATAGATGGTCTGTGTTTATGCTTCAATATTATTTATCTTATTTTTTTCCGTCCTCAAGAATGTAAGTTCCACATCCAGCCCATGACTGAATCGGCAGGGACTCCCACGGTGCCTACTGCAGAGCAGCAGGCAGGCAGTTTAACAGCTGTGGAAGTAAATCAAGTCCCGCCACTAAGGACATCGGCCCTGTCACACCACATACCTGATAGCATGGTCAGAAACTACAGGAACATTCAGCTTCCACACTCAAACATCAGCTGTGTTAACTTTTAGCTCTAACAGCAACTGTGTAACCCACCATAATAAACTGCAGCATGAGAATCCATTTGCGTAAACAGTAGTTTTCAAAGCTTACCTAAATTAGGTGGGTGCTGTGACATAACAGGTAAGCTACTGCCCATGATGCCAGCATCCCATACAGGGGTGGGTTCAAGTTCTGGCTGCTCCGTTTTCCAACCCAGCTCCCTGCTAATGTGCCTAGAAAAGCAGTGTAAGATGGTCCAAGTACTTGGGTCTACACACCCACATCAGGAGCCTGGAAGGAGCTCCTGGCTCCTGGCTTCAGCTCCACCCAGCCTTGGCTATTGGAGGCCATTTCGGAGTGAACCAGGAAGTGAAAGATTTGTCTCTCTCCTTCTGTCACTCTGCCTTTCAAATAAATAAGTAAATATAATTTAAAACAATTGTGGGGCCCGGCGGCCTGGTCTAGTGGCTGAAGTCCTCAGCTTGAACGTGCTGGGGATCCCATATGGGTGCCAGTTCTATCCCGGTGGCCCCACTTCCCATCCAGCTCCCTGCTTGTGGCCTGGGAAAGCAGTTGAGGACGGCCCAAAGCTTTGGGACCTGCACCCGCATGGGAGACCCGGAAGAGGTTCCTGGTTCCTGGCTTCGGATCGGCGCAGCACCGGCCATTGTGGTCACTTGGGGAGTGAATCATCGGACGGAAGATCTTCCTCTCTGTATATCTGATTTGTAATAAAAAATAAATAAATCTTAAAAAAAAAACAATTGTGAGGACTGTATAAATTTGAATTTTCAGAAGTAATGTAATATTTATTTATTTGAAAGGGAATTACAGAGAAGAGAGAGAAAGGGAGAGATCTTCCATCTGGTGGTTCACTCTGCAGAGTCTACCACAACGGTGCAGGTGCCTAAGCTCTTGGGCAATCTGCTGCTTTTCCCGGATCGGTAACGGAGGGCTCAATCGGAAGTGAAGCATTGGGGGACACAACCCTGCACCCATATAGGATGCCAACACTGGGGTCACAGGCTTTTTTTGGACTATGCCATAACATGGGTTCCAAAACAAACCACTCCACCTTAGCATGCTATGGACTCTAACCAGCACTCAGATAAGGAATGCAGAGTTACAATAACCTGCTGTGGGACAATACCAGCTCCATTCCTGTCACTTTCTGTACTAGTGGGCTAACGTGGACTAACTCATGTAAAGTCACTTAACATAAACGTTGAGAAAATCGCAAATTAAGACATTATCTTCTTTTTTTTACCCACTCTCAACTAATACCACTTTTGTTACTGTATCTCTTGCAATCTCTTAACTTACCACAAGTTAGTTTAGCAATGGAACTTACCACAAGTTAGAACTTAAAATACATTTTATATCACAAACCACAATAAGGGAAGAACTATTTGGTACCCTAGAGTTGATGAAGTCCAACGTTACCACAACAGGCTCCATTTCCCCATTCCTCCTTCAGGGCTGGGCTCCGGGCTGCGCTTACTCCCCATCTGATCCACGGGTATGCCATGCCTTCTAAAACCAAGATGATGAAATTCCTGACTCCCTCCCCACAAACAGAGAAGAAGCAAAATTTAACCTAATAAATCCAGACTTCCAAGCAGTTTCCGAGTCACTAATAGCTGCTCGATGCTTGTAGAAGTTATCGTTACTTTTCTGTTTTTGTGATCTCTTTGTTAATCCTGCCCTGTCTGCTAGGAAGGCCCAGAAAATTTCTCCATTAAAAAAAAAAATTCTCCTCTAATGTGGATTCCTTCAAACGTGTTGGTTTTGTTTCCAGATCTGGTCTTGGCTGACAGCAGTTGTGGAGTAGTGAAGAGCAGCCTCAGCACTGCCTTAGGTGGAGTCGGGCTGAGAACAGTACCTTCAAATGCAAAGGCATTCCGTGGCCACTCTAGCCATTCTGTAAGGGCTCTCATCTGTCTGCTTTTAAAGCGAGTTTGGGGGACGGGGGGAGACTCTCATTCCCCCTTCCCTCGGCCAGGGCAATCTAACCAGCTTTTCCCTTGGCCTTTTAATTTTTTAAAAAAAGACTTATTTATTTGTATTACAAAGTCAGATATAAAGAGAGAAAGATCTTCCATCCGTTGGTTCACTCCCCAAGTGGCCACGATGCCTGGAGCTGAGCCAATCATCAATCAGGAGTCAGGAGCTTCTTCCGGGTCTCCCATGCGTGTGCAGGGTCCCAAGGCTTTGGGCCGTCCTCAACTGCTTTCCCAGGCCACAAGCAGGGAGCTGGATGGGAAGTGGAGCTGCTGGGACACGGGCCATCACCCATATGGGATCCCGGGGTAGGTTCAAGCCAAGGACTTTAGCTGCTAGGTTACCATGCCGGGTCCTATTTTGAATTCCTGTTAATGGATAGTGTACAGTATATGTAAACAACAGATGACAAAGATGGGACACACAATACATAACTATCTATGCCTCACTCTCCTGCACATCTAAGAGAATGAAAACTGATACAAAGTTTTCTGGAAAGCACTTTATCAATACATAAAATGCTCTAAATGTTTTTTATACATTGACCCAGCAATTCTGCTAGGATTCTAAAGACATGAAACTGTGGGTAGAGATTCATATGTATAAATGTTTACCCTAAAACACTCAAACCATGTAAAAATGAACAAGGTTCATTGCTTATACTGTGGTCCTGAGGAATACAGCCTTTTGCAGCTACCCAGACCTGACTCTCACCATTTACAATGGGTACTCTTACTTGCTGGAATTCAGAAAATGTAAGGAGAAATAGAAACAAAATTAAACTATCCTAAGAAGAAGAAACAAACAAACAAAAAGCCAAGATGTGCTCAAGGGATATGTGATATCTCATCTAGCCCTAAGGAGGAATGAGGCTGAGCCTGGAGAGGAAGCCAGAACCACTCCCTGGCTGTCAGGAGACCAGCACTTCCTTTAAAAGAAGCCATTTCATTTTGCTTTTTCTGCAAACCAACTTCTCTGCACTTAAGACGAAAAGCCTGTGAACTTACTTCCACAGTGAGCAAAGTGGACCGGGTTCTGTCACTGTCCTCGTCCTGGGGCTCGGTGCCTGTAGA